GTTTTTGGACTTTAAAGCTGTTTTGGGGCTTCTAAAGCTTTTTTGGGGCTTTAAAGCTGTTTTGGGTGCTTTTATGTTTGTGTGTATGTTTCTGCATTTAGACGATTTTATCCAAGGCGACTTACACTGTAGACACAATGTTCCAGCTATCATCAACCTGATAATCAGCTCTCTGGAGGAAAACCCCCAGTCAGAGTCAGAGGAGACAGGAGGAGATAGAGGGAAGCCCTGAAAGAGGAGTAGAGGGTCCAGAGGTCTGGGGGGGGGTCAGGATAGGAGCTGCTCTGTGGAGGGGGGGTATGGAGGAGTTTATGAAGACAGACGGGGACCTGCTGCTCTGTAGGCCTGGACGCTTCTTCCTCCATCTCAAAGCTGTTTTTTGTGGCTTTTAAAGCTGTTTTGGAGGCTTTGAAACATTTTTTTTTGTCTTTTAAAGCTGTTTTTTTGCTTCTAAAGCTGTTTTTTGAGCCTTTAAAGCTATTTTGGGGCTTTATAGCTGTTTTTTCAGGCTTTAAAACCTTTTTTTGTGGGGAGATTTACAAGTGCAGCTCACAACTGAAGGAGGCTTTTGGATGTGAATTGAACGTTTTAAGCCCCTGACCTCCAGTTGGTCGTATCCAATCTGACGGTCACGATGACCTGGATGTGGCAGAGGGCCAACAAAAGAAGATTCAGAGAATCTACCACTACTCTCTTCAGCTCAGTACCGTGTGGCCCTGAACTTCAGGCCCTCTGGCAGCTCTCTGCGTCTAAAAACCAGCCTGATTCAGTCCTGGAAATCCGGATCATTTCCCCTCCCTCTGTCAGCGTTAAGCCAAAAGTTTCTGCTTTTAAATGTCAGTTTATGAGGCTATCAAATCATTGGATTCTGCTTTTATCATCTCTTGTTGTTGTTGTGGCTGCAGATGGGTTTTCTTTGTACCGTTTCAGTGTGATGACCTTCTCATTTTTAACTACTGATATATTAAAATGGCTGAACAAAGCTGCAAAGCACGTCTCAGAGGGGTTATCGGCCAATTCAGGCTTTATTGTTGCCCCATTATCTGTTTGAAAATGTTCTCATTTTGAACCATCCTCGATATTTGAGCGTGCGATTTTCTGTTTTCCTGAACATGTTTTTGTCAAAAGTTGTGGCGATGCTTCGTGTTTTGGGAAAAATTTAAAGTCTGACTACATATTTTCCAGCAGTAAAACCCGGAGCTGGTGTTTTTTCCTGTGCGTGTCGGATATTGTGCGATTCCCATTTGAGAAATGAACATATTTATGTATAGTGAATGGGTCTTATGATCAGAACTCAGAAAAAAATACCTCTTAACTCTACCTCATTTGTGAGGAGTCCCAGTTTTATTTATTTATTTTTTAAATCAGCCTTGTAGATACTGACAAACAAACTCGTGTGTCCTCTGTCCACACCTGGTTTGAGTTTAGTTTCTTATCCTGTTAAGGTGAGAGCTTCTTCCTCTCTGCTCTGCATTTTAAACTAATATCTGCAGGAACTAATTAAAAGTAGTTCCTGCATATATTGTCACTGGAAGAACAAGTCTATCGTTATTATGTGACGAGTTTGGACACGCTCCGGTTTGTTTGGCGTTGGTGTTTTTTTGTTTTCGTCCGCAGAAATCCGAATTCCCGGAGTCTCTCCCGGTTCAGTGGGTCACTGTGAGCAAATCTGGAAAACCTGCAGCCGTCTCAGACAAACCTATGCTTGTTTTCCTGACGTTATTATTCATTGTTGCAGCAGATGATGACTGAGCTGCAGGGTTGGGGGGGGGGTGATGACCTCGCAGATTCTGGTGAAATGAAAACTCACCAAATGTGCACAATGCAGGTCTCATTCGGTCGTCCTTCCAGGAGACAAAGACTCCGTAGTGTGACTCCGGCTGCTTTGCTCCAGTTTGTTTTTCCCAGTTTGCAGCCATTTTGTTCCACTTGAGGAGGAAGAGACCGGTGTGTGTGTGTGTGTGTAAAGATTGTGTGTTTCTCTGGGCCTGACAGTTCACCTAGACATGAAATAACTGTGTGAAATGTTATAGTCCTCATAAGTTATATAAACCAGATATAGTGTCCCTATATGTCACATAAAAATCAGATGTGACCAAAATGTTGCTCTAGCTAACATCTCAATAGATGAATGTTTTCCTGAATGCATGGATAGGAAACTCTGGGATTCTCAGACCTGTACAACCTTTGGAAAGACACGTCCCCATTTGTCCTATATCCGTCATACGTCCTTATATGGAATAAAAACACGTGTGTGTGTGTGTGTGTGTGTGTCCTTGTTGCTGCGTCAGAGTGAGAACCATAACTATTTTTCAACCAACAAAGTGAGGTCTTTTTTGGAAAGTGAGGACATTTTCCTGGTCCTCACTTTATTGTGTGTTTATGTGTGTGTTTGTGAGTGTGTGTATGTGTGTGTATGTGTGTGTGTGTGTGTTTGTGTGTGTCCTTGTTGCCGCATCAGAGTGAGAACCATAACTAGTTTTTAACCAACAAAGAAAGGTCTTTTTTGAAAGTGAGGACATTTTCATGGTCCTCACTTTATTGTGTGTGTGTGTGTGTGTCTGGTGTGTGTGTGTGTGTGTGTGTCTGGTGTGTGTCTGGTGTGTGTGTGTGTGTGTGTGTGTGTGTGTGTGTGAGAAACCTAGTGGGAAAATTTGAAAACTCAATCTTTCTAAGACACTCAGAACTACTGGTCCTCAGTTTGTGAGTCCTTTCACTTGGTCCTCAGTCTGAGGTACTTACAAGAGTGTGTGTGTGTGTGTGTTCAGGGTTCTGGACCTTCCTGTGGTTCGTGTGCTTCTGCCTGCTGGCGTCTCAGTGGGGACGCACTCAGGACGTGCGCGCCATCCCGCAGGACGCCGCCCGCGCCGCCATCGCCTTCTCCTTCTTCTCCATCGCCACCTGGGTGAGAAGCCCCGCCCCCACCGGACGCCCCGGTCAGCAAAACAAGCCCCGCTTTGGGTCTCTGAGGCAGGAAGTGAAACAAGTGGGCCGTCAAACATGGACCAGCTTGATGCTCATTGACATAGATAGATAGATAGATAGATAGATAGATAGATAGATAGATAGATAGATAGATAGATAGATAGATAGATAGATAGATAGATAGATAGATAGATGGATAGTTAGATAGATAGATAGATAGATAGATAGATAGATGGATAGATAGATACTTTATTGATCCCCAAGGGGAAATTCAAGGTCCCAGCAGCTTAAGACATTACACACAACATACACTACAGTTCACACAGTATCTTACGAAATCACTAGAATACTAAATGAACACAACTACCAGATCAACATTACTAAAGGATAAAAAGTGCTAAAAAGCACTAGAATACTGGATACTAAATACTAATTTAAAACATGCATGTTGGCCAGTGTAGCCAGTAGCCATATATATAGCCATATATATATATTATAAAAGATAGAAATGCACGTAGACGACTCGTGGGTCCCATTTAAATCATCTGCCTCCACCGGTTGGGGGTGAGAGAGAGAGAGGGCGAGAGAGAGAGAGAGAGGGAGTGCTAGAGATAGAGACAGAAAGACTACACAGTAAGACATAGACTGGATGAAAAATGTTAATGAATGAGTGGATGTGGGCGGATCGGTGGGAGGATTGGAGGTAGGGGGCGGAGCTTTCCTCTGGAAATCAGAGCAAAACTTAAACGTCTCCCACACACTCATTCTTTTTCTTCTTCTCATTTTTATCTTTTCTTTGCCCGGGTGCTCCGGGTCCTGACCAGCTCCTCTCTGTGTGCAGAGAGAGAGAGAGAGAGGGCAAGAGTTAGAAGAGAGAGAGAGAAAGAAAGGGAGGGCAAGGGAGAGAGAGAGAAAGGGAGGGCGAGAGATTGAGAGGGAGACAGAGAGACTACACGGTAAGACATAGACTGGATGAAAAATGGAAATGAGGTAGGGGGGCGGAGCTTTCCTCTAGAAATCGGAGCCAAACTTAAACGTCTCCCACATTTATTCTTCTTCTTCTCTTTATCTTTCTTTGGCCCGGCTTCTCTGGTTCCTGACCAGCTCTCCTCTGTGTTTCTGCAGGGCATCCTGACCTACTTTGCTCTCGGCCGTTTCCGCCGCGGCGTGGCCGACGTTGCCGTGCCGACCTACACGGAGCCGGCGCC